CTTCTCAGTGTGGCTGTAACAGTCAGGTACTGTACCTGCCCCTTCCCTTCCCCCGAGAGACGGGTGGCAGGTTGCACAGGTCTTGAACAGGAAAACCAGTGGTGTTTCTCACACGCTGCTCTGGGTGCATGCCAAATGGAATGCCACTCACTGGAGATGATAGAGACACTATGCTGCTTCTGCTGTCATTTCTAACATCAAGCCTTGAAAGTGGCCGGGGCAGATTCAGCTTGACAGGAGTTGGGTGTGAAATTGGATTTTTTAACATCAACACTTACAGCCACTGAATTCACACAGAGTTTAGACTTTTATTTCTTTATTTGTACACACACACACACATACATTTTTATGCATATGTGTGTATGTAATGCATAAACACAGAAAATCTGTATTTCTGGCCCTTAGAGCAAATTGTCGGGTGCTGGAGGTGCAGTCTCCTGTCAGATTTGAGTGCCTTCTGCCTGAATTTGCACAGCCAGCTAGAGGAGGAAAATCGTCCCGTACCAAAGCTTGGCAGCCGGGACCGAGCAGCGCGATTCTCTCACAGTGCGGCAAAGCTGAACAGGAGCTCATCTGACTCCTTTCGGGCACAGGTTACTGGGTCTGCCTTGCCGTGTTCACGTTACTCTTGGACTTTCTGACTTCTCAGGTCAGAAGGGGGGAGAAGCTTTGGTGGTAGCTCTCTCCTTGAGGCACCTAACGGAAGCGCCGCTGGCTATAGAGTGGCATCTTCCTGTTGTGCTTGTCAGAGCTGTGGGTAATGCTGGATGTTTTGTTCTTTGTCATTGACCCTCTGCTTCAGTCTCCCTTGGGACGTATGGAGGAGCTTCTCAGTTCTTAATAAGGCTGTGTGTCAATCCAGGTGGTTATCTCTGCAGCAGTTGCACCTTGTTTGGCTTTCTAACGGTTTCATTACAGCTGAAATTTGTGGAGATTTTGCTTTCTGTTTTTAAATAAAATCCGACAATTAATGAACAAAGGTGGCACGCCTCCAGAAAGATGATTGCCAAGTTTCCATAGCGTGGCCTGGTGTGTTGGTGACATGGCTTACAAAATCTGTCTTGCGTGGTTCTGTCCCCCGTCTCCTGAATGTGGTGGTGAAGTACCACGTCCCTCTGTGTACAGTTGTGTGCATCATTTGTACCATACGCTGTGCTTCGGCTTTGTCTGAGAGGTTGTTAGGAAAGGAGTCCATACTGAATTGCTCTCATTTTCTTCTGGAGGAGGTGCCCGAGCTCTGTGTGCCCGTTCATCATTTCTTGACGATGGTTACTTTAGAGGCTCTCCCATGAGAGCTGGGAGTCTGTCTTGCAAGTATCCCAACAATTACATTAAGGTCAGAGAAGGAATTTACTTGGGGGAGGAGGGCGTGTGCCTTTGGTGGCGGATCAGGAGTCTGTCTGGAGTGGGATGTCCTCAAGACTTCACCCACAATTAGTCTGGTGTAGGTGGGGCAGAGCAGATCGACAGGAGTGATGCCCGCTTCTGGCTGCCCTCACAGCTGTGCTGCTGGAAGTGGTGCTCTGAGGGAGGGAGGCGAGGTGTGCGGAGAGAACGAAGAAGCCTTCCTGCTGCTCTCTGTGGAGCTGTACCTGCGCGTCTGAGTCTCCGCTACCGTTTCCTCTTTTCCGTAGGCTGTAGGGGACGGCTGGTGTATGCGAGGCTATAGCTCGTGTAAATACCAGCATAACCTCTTACGGAGAGCCACGTGGCTGCATGGCTGGTTTCTACAGTCACTGAGGTTTCCAGCTGCTATTAATGTCCAGCAGATGAAAGGTACCGCTGGAAGACGGATGAATCCTAAAACACCAGTGACACAAACTTGCGTCGGGTTCCTCCCCTCTGGCTACAGCCTGGAGCTTAGTGTGTTTTGCTTGTTTTCACTTCCCCAGGCAGCTGAAATTCTGCCGTACCTGGAAGTTTCATCAGCTGACTTGTTACTGATAAAGAGTTTTCTATTAAGCCTCGCTACTGAGCATCGGATTGGAGCACCAGCTTCCTCCCATTACCCGTGATTGATGGATTTTGTTTTAATGGTGCTTTTCATACCTGATTGAAATTATTATTGAAAGTATTATTGTAATTATTTGTGTCATTGAGTACTGTGCTTCTCTCCTAAAATAAAGTCTTTGGAGAGTTTTTCATAACCATTACTATCTCAGATAGATGGAGAGAACAAGGGGGTGAGCGAAAGTCATAGTGAGGCCTGTTCACTTCAGTGGACACACAAAAAAAAAGAGGAAAAAACCCCTGAGTAAACCGTTAATTAGCCAGTAAGTTTTTGAGGAAGAAACTTGTCAGGTAATGCATGATCTTTTTCCTCTCCAGCTGCAGATCTGTACATTGCTAGATCTCATGATCTTATCCTGCCCTTCAGTTTTTCACTGACTACTTTGACCTAAGTCACAGTTGTTAAAGACTGCAGAGTGAGTGTTTGCTCCTTCTCTTCACGTAGTAGTTGTAGCGTGAAAGGTCTCTGGTTTACTTCACAGCAAGCATGGTTTGTTCTGCTGGGTATGTGTGTTGCTCCATTGGAAAGACATTGCTTCTTGTCCTTGACTGGAGAAACAAGAAAATTTTTCTTAAGCTTGTGTTTTCATGTGAAAAGTTTAAATTCTTGTGAAATGGCATTTTCTGTTTCCGATCTGGAAAAATGATCCCAATCAGGGAAGTGGTAAAATCGTTACAATAAACTGATATCTAATGGATTTTTTTTCATACTGAATTTATCTAATGTTTACTTCAGTTTCTGAGAACTGTGAAAGTGTCTTTTAGAAGGATGTGCAGTGGTGGTCACTTGGCCTTGAGTAGAGTAGGTTACTTGGTGCAAGAATTTGTACAAGAAAACAGAATACTTGGTTTTTAAACACTGGATGTAACTGGATTTATACCTGGAATATTCTTCTGATGTTGAGTTTATGTATGTTAGCTCCATAAGCATTTATCCTACAATGCCCAAAGCCTTTACTTCAAATACTGTGTTGATCAGATTTATTGTACTGTTTTTAAGTATATGGAAGTGATAGGTTTATTTTTGCTTATTAATTGCTTGAACTGTTACTGAAGATTTGGATCAGGTAAAATAGAGCTCTTAGTATATTCTCAAAAGGAGAAATAAACTGCTGCAGGAAGAAAAGAGTCAAATTGTTGAATAAAGGGTAATGTTGAAGGACTTGTAGGTGTGTCCTGGGAGGGATGGCAGCAGAATCTGGTCCTGTGTCTGAAGAACCACCCAGCATTCTGGTGTGGTTCTCCTAATGCGAAGTACAGTGAAGGTGTCTTTCCCCAGCTACCATGGCTTTCACATTACCCGCTGCCAGTGGAGTATGTCCTGTGTGAGAGGGACAACGCGACAAGAACTGGGTGGCAGTTTTCAACCTGGATCTGGAAACAGCGGGAGTTTGTGTGTGCCTTTGTAACGGCAATAAAAAATGGAGAGGTTTTAAGTGAGTGCATGCACCTACACCTGCCTGTGTTTAGTGGTGTTTTTGCAGCTGTCTTGCTGTTTAAGTGCCCCATTTATGCACTTTACTACATTTTAATCTTTTATGCCTAATCCCAAACTGGAGTATTAGGAATTACTATTAAGATTTTTCTGGATAGAGATGTACTGTGACGAGCAACTTGTTGAAAGCCTGCTTTCTTTGGCTGGCTGTGCAGCACTGTGTCCTTACACAGTCTAGTCCCCGTGGGGCAGGCTAGCCTGTTCTGGGATTTGGGTGGCTCGGTTCCTGTATTGTGTAGGCTGCTTTGCTTAGCACTAAGCTCCAGAGCCCCTGCTAACATTCACCAGGTCATGCAGATCCCTCGAAGCTGTAAGGAGAAAAAAAAAAAGTCTTGTACATCAAACATAATAAAATAACAAAGACTTTTGCTATTGTAAAAAATTGTCATCGAAAATGGGAGTTTCTGCAATGTACACCGTGTGTCGTGAATTGTGTCTAGTGCGTTGGCCTTGGGGAGGGGAGGGGGTCTAACGGCAGTTCGGCTTCCCTTGCTGTGGGGTAAGCGAACAGCTGAACTGTTTGGTGTCGGTGTTCTGGAGCTCAGGAGAGAGAGAACGTGAAGCTAGTGAAAACCACATGCAAGATCAGATAATATCAGTGAGCCATAAGTTAACCTGTTATATGGAAAGGGAAATGGATACGTTATCTTCAGGGTGTGCATTTTAAAGTGCGTGTGAGGAGATAACACCAGTGGGCTCCAAGGTACAAACCAAGACACTGGCAACCCCCCCAGCCCCATTTGCAGTGTCACAGGCACTAAACCGCTGTGTGGTTTTGGTCTGGCACCGTGCAGTGTGAGATTCCAGGCTGAATAGGCCTTCCAGTTAAAATCTTTGGCCCATAGGCGCTTGTACCGGGGGAGAAGGTGGATAGCAAGGCTGGCTGAAAAGAGGGGCAAGGAGGTCCTGCCTGCAAGCTGAGAGCAAATCCCAGTCATTTGCTCTTGGGAAATACCGCACCAGAGTGTGAAAGGCAGGATTAGGTCCAGCAACTCACTTAAGCGTGAACTGGCCTTTTTTCAAATATCAGATTTATTTTCACATTCACATTTCTTCTAAAGGTAAGCTCAGATGTAGGCCTTAACCCTGCGAAAAAATAAAGCAGCATTGTGCTTCCTGTGCTGTTTGCGTAGTCCTTTCTGCCTGAGCTGTTGACACCACCTTGGTGCCTTTGCCTGACATCTCTGCAGGTAATTAGAATGGCCCGAAGAATGTCTAGATAATTATCGCCAGGCAGCTCAATTTATCTGCAAGTCACGTGAGACTGGTCCTTGGAATTTAGCCATGTAGTGCTATTAGCTGGATTCTGAACTAGTATTTTGGGGGTTGACTCTGATGGCTTCTATCTCTTACTAGAGGTTAGAGACTCGGCTGTCTCTCCACGGCCCTCCTCGTTTGATCTGGGCTATAGGCAAAAAGATGAACTTGTTTTTCTGATAGTAATTTGGCTGGTTGCAGGTGTAGTAATTTCATTTTGTTTCTTGGTCCCTTTCAGCTTGTACCTCCTTTTAAACCTCAAGTGACATCTGAGACAGACACCAGGTATTTTGATGAAGAATTTACAGCTCAAACTATTACAATAACGCCGCCTGAAAAATGTAAGTCAGAAATTATGTAGAAGCATAACTTAAAAACAATCAGTTTATAATAAAGCACCATGTAAGGTTTTTGCTGTTTGAATGGAAAAGCTGTGCTCTCTGTGACTAATAGAAATCTTCATGTGGAAGTGTAAAAGAGTAACTCTTAATGACAGTGTTCTAAAGAAGGAGCGTTTACAAGGCTTAGAATATTACAGCACTCTGGGTTAGGTTCTAGGGGCATTTTTGGCATGGGTTTTTTTTTGTTTGGGGTTTTTGTTTTGGCTTCAAATGTTTGCTGGTTGGCACTCAAGGTCCCAGTTCAGCAAAGTACTTGGAACATGGACCCTGCACAAGAATGGAACATGGAACACGCACAAGAATCATGCTCTGATCGGCCAAGCTGGAGCTTAACAGAGTTACTTACCCAGCCAGAGCAGTTAAAATCTTGCTGCTGAGTTCTTGAATGAATGTCCTTTCTAAGGGAGATATTTTTTTTTTTTCCTATTGGAGGATGGGGAAGGAGGCTCACAAAGGTAGACGATAAAGGCTATAATTAAGGTTGATTACCCTTTCACAGAGCTAGCTCATTTTTTGGTGTTCTAGGTTTCCCAGGTTTAGCTGCAGTTTTCCGTTGGTAGATAGATCTGGAGTATTTTCTGGATTTTGCATTTTTAGTGTTTGAACAGTCATTTAAGTGACTTTAAGTCTTCCTGCTGTGAAAAAAAAAACCCTTTCTTCTTCCATCTGTCTGGATGAGAATGTGTTCATATTCGTAATTTGAACAAACTTTGCGAAAATTTGAACTATTGATTCAATATCATGAAGTCCTGATCTCTTGAAACTCCACATACGCAATGCGAGTGGCTGTCTGTCCATCGAGGGCTGAAGCAGTACAGAATATGTGTCTGCTCCCAAGACTGCAGCTTTGCGTTTATCGAGATCAGAGCGGGTGATGGGTGCCGATGCAGGGACACGACCTGCCGACCTGCGGTGCCTCTGTCGGCCCCTGCTGCGTTGGTCTGGCTGGTGCGGG